TATCCGAGAACTACAAGCCTTTAGAAGAGGGACTTTACAGGAGTGAAAAAAACCCAACGAACATGCGTAACTCTGAATGAATTGCTTATATTTTCATAATCTCTTTTACTCTTTTGGGAAAAAATATTATTACAAGCTTCCCTATATAGAGGAATGGAGCCCTGGTGGCACAGTGCTTAAGAGCTACTGCTGCTAACTAAAAGGTCGGCAGTTGGAACCCACCAGCTGCTTCTTGGAACCCCCATGGCGCAGTTATATTCTGTCCTATAAGGTCGCTATGAGTCGGAATAGACTCAACAGCAACAGGGTGGTTTTTGATAAAGAGGAATAGTTTCATAACATTTTTACTAATTGAAACAAAAAACAAAATTATGAAAACTACAGCTACAAAAAGCAACCATGATTTGCTATAAAATAAACAGAACATCAGGAGAGATATTCTGTGGCTTACTATTTACGAGAGTTTAGAAAAATAAACTATTGAGAATTGTCTTTTATGCCTCAAATGCCCATACACTTTCACCTTCCATGGTGACGAGACTGGTGTTTCTTTAGTTAGAGTAAAATGGTCAAACAAGAAGCCAAACCAAGCCAGCTGCCATCTCAAGGTTAGCAGAAAAGAACACAACTGCTTGAGAACTAGGTATGTGTCATTCTAACATTTGTTCTATATATGCACTTTGGAAGTGCAAAATTAAAGGGCACCTTGGACAAAAGTGCCTAATTACAAACTGAATGTGCCAGTGAAGATGAATGTTTAACCTTAATACATATCTTAGCAGTAATTCTGGCCCCAAACAAAATTATCAATTAGGATCCATTATCTTTGACTGTGACCTCAGGGCTTCCCTTTTTTTCCCTTTTCCCAAACCGTATTTGCCAGGATCGGCGTTTCCAGGGTTGGTTGCTTTTGGCCGTTTTTCATTGCTTTGGGCTTAAGGGGGGGGCCTTGTTGTTGCATGGTTAAGCGGCTGGCTGCTAACTGAAAGGTTGGTAGTTTGAGCTCACCCAGAGGCTTCATGGGAGAAAAGATCTGGAGATCTGTTTCCATAAAGATTGAAAAACCAAACCAAATTCGTTGCCATCAAGTCGATTCTGACTCATAGTGACGCTACAGGACAGAATAGAACTGCACCACAGGGTTTCTAAAGCTACAATCTTTCTGAGAGCAGACTGTCACATCCTTCTCCCTCAGAGAGGCTGGTGGGTTCAAACTGCCAACCTTTCAGTTAGCAGCTGAGTACTTATCCACTGCACTACCAGGGCTCCTTCCATGAATATTACAGCCTAGAAAGCCCTATGGGGCAGTTCTACTCTGTCACACTGGATCGCTATGAATCGAAAATCGACTTGATGGCACCCAACAACAATGGGCAAAAAGGAATAAAGCTTTAATCAGAATTTCACAGATCATCCTCTGGATGAAAAAGTACTCTTAAAATATTTCATAGGCTAGCTCAAATTCAGAAAACAGAACTGACAATTTATCCAGTTCAAAAGTTTTCTATCTGAAACCGATATCAAGCTAGGTTTTTGGCTTTTAAAAGTCACTGAGGATTTCTTTATTGGTAGTAAGCAGAAGCCAAACACTTCAAGATTTGTCACTATGTCACACACGGATCAGAAAACGGGCTTTGGGAGCTTGTGGGGAGGTGGGGGCGGGGGGCAGTGCAGAGAATATAATGAGGCCTAAAGGGATGAGGGAGACTTTGAGGAAAAAGGAAACTTTAAGAAGATCTAGTTCTTATCAGCACACAATCTTTGAGGATCAGTTCATGGGTAATTCATTACCTGCCTGACAATTAAAAATGGGTAGATACATACAAAATCTTTTTACTGCCATAACTTTTTCAATGTAGTCTTTTAAATCAAGACCCTACAGAAAGGAAAGCTTTGACATGGGCAAACTTTAGGGCATTCCTGCCCCTCCATCCCCCTCAAAAAGCCATTTAGAACATAAAAGAAAGAACAGTAAAGGCAGAATAATAAACTACA